GCCGCGCGTGGTAGCTGCCGGGGGGTCCGAGGCGGCAGCGCCGCGACGTGTCTCCTGCTCCATGGGGAGACCAGCCCCAGCGGTCACATCCTGCGCCAGGCGGAGGCAGCGAAGGGTACCCCGGAGAGCAGAGGAAGCCCGGGGCAGCGGCCGGCTGCGGGGCTGTGAGGGGGCCCGGCATGGGCGCTCCCGCCTTGGTGCCGCTGTGACCGCCGCCAGAAATCTGTACGTTAACGGGCCCGGGCGGAGCCTGGCGCGCGGGCAGGGGGTTGCCAGCCGGCGCCTTCTGCAGGGGCCTTACGTAAGGCTGCGCTGGACGCGGCTGGCGCGCAGCGATGGCTGGGGCGCTCGGTCTGCCCCCCGGGCCGCGGAGTCGTCACCTGCTTTTAGCTGCCGAGCTCCTGCCGCACCTAAGAAGCGCGGTAGCTGCGCTTGGCGCTTTGCGGGAGTGTGTCGGGCCGGGTGTGTCATTGGGAAGCGCGGGTGGGCAGTTGTCGCTGTTCTCATTCGCTTAAGCCTGTTCAGCTACAGTTCCTATTAGTAAACCTCGTCTCGCTCCACAACGCCGGTGTTGCTTCTAGAGTGTTTGCAGTGTGATTCTGCACAGCGCTGGTGGAGCTTGCTACTGGCTGATCGTGGGGGTGGTGAGTCCGTGTTTCATCAGGCTTAGCAGTGACTTGTTTGGTTTTTGCATCAGTTATTTTCGTGCACGTCAAGCTAGACACAGTGAAGGATCTTTGCTCAACTACAGTCACGTTGATTTAGTTTAAACACACCGTCAGACTAAACAATGAAAGCCCTCTAGACTTCCTTTTCGTGATAGTGGTTTTCAGGTATCTGAAAGGGTGTCACAAGGAGAAGGGAGAAAAATTGTTCTTGGCCTCTGAGGATAGGAAAAGAAGCAATGGGCTTGACCTGCAGCAAGAGAGGTTTAGGTTGGACATTAGGAAAAAGTTCCTAACTGTCAGGGTAGTCAAACACTGGAATAAGTTGCCTAGGGAGGCTGTGGAATCTCCATCTCTGGTGATATTTAAGAGCATGTTAGATAGACATCTAGTAAAGCTGGACTAGGTGGTACCGGGTTCTGCCATGAGGGCAAGGGACTGGACTCGATGACCTTTCGAGGTCCTTTCCAGTTCTACTGTTCTAGGATTCAGCTTTTTTCTGGAGTTGTCTTTTGTCATGCAGCACAGTGTAATTAGTTTTGTATTTCTCAGACACCGACCTTTCCCAATGGTAAATGTGGTTAATCATACACAGAAGGTGCATAGTAGGCACTCAGAAAATAAATATGAAGTAATAAGACTTTGATTTACACTGTAGGTTTAAAAGTGTTTAATAAAAGTGGTTGATCGGGTCTCATTTTACAAATGTATTATTTATTTAAAGGGAGAGGGTGGGGAACCTCTCCACCTGTATACTCCACCTTAATCCCGTGGCCCATCAGGGACATCAGTTGGCGGCTCCTTCACGGAGCCGTGAGCATGGGCAAGTACCTGGCGCGGTTCACCCCCATCCCGGATACCTGCCCCTTTTGCGGCGTGTGAGAGAACCTGGCACACGTCTACCTCGAATGCACCAGGTTGCAGACCCTATTCCGGCTCCTCCAGAACTTATTGAGGTTATAGCTGCACTTTTCCCCACATCTTTCCATTTACGCGCACCCTATCCGTGGCCCCACAAAGTCGCGGGACCTCCTCATCAACCTCCTCTTGGCCTTAGCTAAAATGGCCATCTATAACACCAGGGAGAGGATGTTAGGCGAGGGGGTTCCATGCGACTGTGGGGCCTATTTTTGTTCCTCTCTAGTATCATGTATTTGGGCAGAGTTCCTCTGGGCCACTCTGGGCGCTACGGGACCAACCCGGCAGCACCCCAGCTGCTCTGCCCCAGGCGTCCTGATTCAGCCGCTGCTGAA